GAAAACTGGATTTTATACACACACTGTACACGACCTGATCACACACTTCCCCTCACAGTTATACACTACGAGAACTGTATATAAAACCACAGGTGTTCGTAAGCACTAGCCAAAGTAACGAGGAAAAACGTTAGCACCAACTGTATAAGGCTTTCTCCAAAGAAGCATTTTCTCTACAGGTTGCTTGTGCTCCACTACCTGACGACGGCTCGGGTCACCTACGACGCCTCGGGCCAAGGTCGATGTCTTGGGCCAAGGACGACGTCTCGGGTCACCTACGACGCCTCGGGCTAAGGTCGACGTCTTGGGCCATGGACGACGCCTCGGGTCAAGGTCGACGCCTCGGGCCAAGGTCGACGCCTCGGGCCAAGGTCGACGTCTTGGGCCAAGGTCGACGTCTCGGGCCAAGGACGACGCCTCGGGTCAAGGTCGACGCCTCGGGCGACGCCTCGGGCCAAGGTCAACGCCTCGGGTCAAGGTCGACGTCTCGGGCCAAGGACGGCGTAGTGGCCAAGACGGTCACCACCTGGCCACACGTCGCGGTCAAGACGGTCACCACCTGGCCACACGTCGCGGTCAAGACGGTCACCACCTGGCCACACGTCGCGGTCAAGACGGTCACCACCTGGCCACACGTCGCGGTCAAGACGGTCACCACCTGGCCACACGTCGCGGTCAAGACGGTCACCACCTGGCCACACGTCGCGGTCAAGACGGTCACCACCTGGCCACACGTCGCGGTCAAGACGGTCACCACCTGGCCACACGTCGCGGTCAAGACGGTCACCACCTGGCCACACGTCGCGGTCAAGACGGTCACCACCTGGCCACACGTCGCGGTCAAGACGGTCACCACCTGGCCACACGTCGTGGGTCAAGACGGTCACCACCTGGCCACACTCTACACTTGCATATAATCTATCATAATTATTTACCTCAGATTTAGAGAAGCGTCTCAGATGCTAGACCACGAAGGGTGGAAATAATTCACACACGCATTTACGAAACCAGTCCATCCTTCCTCGACCCTTAGCGGCTTATAAATTATTAACTAAACAGTTTGAGAGCTTTGAAACATCACAAATCTAAGGGTATTATTGATATACAAAAAAACCAACAACTTTGTAGTGCTTCAGATCTCTTAAATATAAACATCATGATTGAGGAAAGAGACGGGCTCACCATAGCCCGTGCTACTTGGAACTTTTTGTTCCAAATAGCAAATCTTAAACAACAACAACATTGAGGAAAGATACAGAGGTTTCGCAAGTAGTTGCTCAAGTGCTAGATAATTCCTGGCCCTGGTTCATGATCGCTAGGTAACTAGTGATTGACAAATCAGTAGTATCCTGTAGCTAATTTTTTATTTTTTCAATTAATTCGCAATTACCAGCATTTGAGAACTCAATGTCTTGCAAAGGGTTACTTCCAAGCGCGCGGACCAATTTTGATAGATTTACCTGATTTTACCTGAGGGCCACTTAAAGCACTCTAGTGTCCTCGACGAGGCTTTGGCAAGCACAGACAAGCAACCAATTGCAAGAACCACTTCCTTAAATGACCCGCAGCATCCAGGTTAACAACCCAACCATCCCACGAGAAGAAAAGAACAATGCCGACGTTTCGATCCATCCTGGATCGAGCGACCGAAACGTCGCCATTTTCATCCCACAGTATCTAAAAAATAACGTAGAACCAACGTTACTCTTGTACCCCTCACTGGAGTCTATCTGAATCGGGTTATTTATGATCAACCACGTTATTGTGACTTGTTCTCTGCATAGCATCCATGCAGGTTGTGCAGACAACTAATGAGCAATACATTAAAGTGTTTTGATTTTTTGGATATATATATATTGTCTCGGTAGACTTTATACACCTTAATAATACTTCCTCTTCTCCCTGCCTTGTAACACAACCCAGAGGAGCCTTGGTAACACCGGGTTTAATCTGTTTCATCCGGCCTGGCAACACTGATGCAATTGCAAGAAGCGACATCTGTCTTCCAAGACCTCGGAGCATTGATTCAAATGTTGCAAGAAGCGACATCTGTCTTCCAAGACCTCGGAGCATTGATGCAAAATGTCGCAGCAAGCGACATCTGTCTTCCAAGACCTCGGAGCATTGATTCAAATGCTGCAAGAAGCGACATCTGTCTTCCAAGACCTCGGAGCATTGATGCAAATGTCGCAAGAAGCGACATCTGTCTTCCAAGACTCGGAGCATTGATTCAAATGCTGCAAGAAGCGACATCTGTCTTCCAAGACCTCGGAGCATTGATTCAAATGTTGCAAGAAGCGACATCTGTCTTCCAAGACCTCGGAGCATTGATTCAAATGCTGCAAGAAGCGACATCTGTCTTCCAAGACCTCGGAGCATTGATGCAAAATGTCGCAAGAAGCGACATCTGTCTTCCAAGACCTCGGAGCATTGATTCAAATGCTGCAAGAAGCGACATCTGTCTTCCAAGACCTCGGAGCATTGATTCAAATGCTGCAAGAAGCGACATCTGTCTTCCAAGACCTCGGAGCATTGATGCAAAATGTCGCAGCAAGCGACATCTGTCTTCCAAGACCTCGGAGCATTGATGCAAATGTCGCAGCAAGCGACATCTGTTCTTGGGAAGCATAATATATTACTCTCCAATTCTCTTCATGTTCAGAAAAAAATATTTACCGATATTATCCTTGAGAAAATGGGCATCTGCCTGTCATTAATAATTCACAGCCTTGACACAATGATTGACAGAATACATCAGAGTTGTCTTACTCAGCTCTATGCCAATATTTTCTTGTATTAATGTATTGTATTCCTGTATTAATTAAGTTGTTCTCATTTGAGACTGTTTCGAATAAGTCTTTTCTGTCAAAAAGTTCAGTTTATTTAAGTGATAAGTGGTCAAATAAAAAAAATAATGTATTTCTGGTGTTGCACACATATATATATATATATATATATATTTTTTTTTTATGTGTGTGTGTGTGTGTGTGTGTGTGTGTGTGTGTGTGTGTGTGTGTGTGTGTGTGTGTGTGTGTGTGTGTGTGTGTGTGTGTGTGTGTGTGATAAGAGTTTCGGACATTTTTGACATCATTTGTAGTCAAAATATTTATATTGAGAAATGTCATTGGCTTGGTTAAGAATGTTTACAAGCAGGGTGAATAAGACCACAGGCATGCCAGACGCCTTACACAACAGCCGAGTGGAAGTGCTAACAATATGCTAACATGGCTATCTTCACAACCTCAAACAACAAACAAGAGAGCATTGTTACAATGCACACACACACACACTCGTCCCCTGACCTAATCTCCTAAGACTGACCTGTGTCATTATAGATCACTAATATGGGAACTATACCATGTTGAGAGCTGTCTTGCCCCCCTCTTCCCCGATGTACAGGTGTGTCAGAGACCGGGCCGCGGGGACATTGATCCCCCCTGAACTAGCACGAGGTAAATTTGGCAATATCACTACTGACCTTACCACAGAAAGAAGTGTAGTTTGTGTATACTGGAGAGAGACACATTGTATCATCATTCGTAACACATTGCCCGAGGTCAATCTTAATATGTATTGACATAAGATGCTGCAAACACGAAATTCCTTAATATGTATCCAGTGGCCTCGCTATCTAAAGTGACGTTGGTTCGACGTTGAATTGACGTTGGTACGACGTTGAATCGACGTTGCTCTTGGATATTGGTCCACTGGGTAAAGGTCGAGCTGTTATGTGACCAGTTCGATACCTTTTTCATCAACTCATTCATGGTATAATTCCCATATATTATTTAAGACAATTTGACATTATTCTCTGCTATTGCAACTCAACTATTTCGTAGTTTCGGGAAAGTCAAGGGAAAAGGAGATGTGAATAAGTTGCTTCAGTCTAAGAGATAAATTGAAGCATAGAGGAGGACAATGTAATAGGAAAGTGATAAGCTTTTCTGATAGATCAACAGTTGTCTCACCGAGTGAGGCCTGCTAACATTAGCAAGTAGAGCTAGGCAGCAGTTGTCTCAACGAGTCAGATCTGCTAATACTAGCAGGTACAGCTACACAGCAGTTGTCTCACCAAGTCAGACCTGCTAATACTAGCAGGTACAGCTACACAGCAGTTGTTTCACCAAGTCAGACCTGCTAATACGAGCAGGAAGGGCTACACAATGGAAGAGGCGAGTCACCAGCAACTATGATGAAGGATATGTATTGTGAGGGAAATATAATGGGTCTGTCTTTCGTAGAAGACTCTCAAGGGGAAGGTTATGTCCGTGGAGTCCCTCTACAAAGAAAATATTCCTATTCCAGGAAATACACAACGTAAACACGTTATTTTCACCTTGTTTACAACGAGGTAATACCGTTTAAAACGCAGTTGTTTCATTGTATGATTGCTGGAATAATGTAATAATTCTAGTTATACATTATGGTGCATTTTCACATTTTTTGTTGTATAAAGCCTAACACCAGGTGGCACTGTTAAGACAAGCTTGGTTAGATTCTTACCCCATGTTTAGTCCCCCACTGTCCGGTCTCCGGCCTGTCCGGTCTCCGGCCTCACAGGGGAAACCCAGCCAAACAACGTCGAGTTAACGTTGAATTGATTCTACGTTGATACGAAGTTGATTCTGTGTCTAAAGTTGCTAATTTAAGAACTAGCCGAGAAGGAGTCACTTTACGCCAGGATTGACCTTATTATTGGCAAGGAAGGCCTCATTGTTGGGTGGTAAGGCGGGGCGAACAGCCTCGAGTTCCACGATCGATGAGATAAGGACACTCACACTATCACCACAAATCAGATGCAAGTCTGACTATTATATTTAAGCAAAATTTCTTCGCTCCTACAGTCACCGAAAGTGGGATGGGGCGGGGCACTGAGATAAGGTGCTCCT